CAAAGCTGAAGAGTTGAGCGAGAAAGAATTCAATATAACTTTGAAAATACATTTGTACTACTATGGAAGGATTTTGGCCATGATTTTTGCACATATTTTTTAATTATTTGAGTTTTCTTTCTATTGGAAGAAGAAAGTCGTGATTTCAACACTCCTACTCCAAGAAAATGGTGTTTTAGCGAGAAGACACAAATCTCTGAGAAGAACTACTAGATTTTGGGGTCAAACTTCAAAATTTTATTCCCATCAATACAGAAGGTGTTTAACGTTGATTTCTTAATATGTTGTATTACCAAAAGTCTAGTTTCTCAAAAAAAGTCTAGTTTCTCAAAAATCAATCCTCTTGTTGTTTGAATGATCCTACACCAAGAAAAGAACATTTTGACGAGATTATGCAAAACTGTGAGGGGAATTTCCAGATTTGATGACCAACTTCAACATTTGATTCCTGTCGATCCGGAAGGATATTAACGTTGATTTTTGGATTTATCGCATAACCAAAAGTATATTTTATCCATAAGTGTCTTGTAGTTTGAATTCTCCTACATCAAGAAAAGAACGTTTTGACGAGATTGTACATAACTATGAGGGGAACTTCCAGATTTGATGACCAACTTCAAAATTTTATTCCCATCGATACGGAAGAATTTTAACGTTGATTTTTGGATATATTGTATAACCAAAATTCTAGCTTCTCCATAATCAAGTGTATTGTCATTTGAAATTTCCTACATCGAGAAAAGGATGTTTTAGCGAGATTGCGCATAACTGTGAGGAAACTTCTAGGTTTGATAACCAATTTCAAAAATCAATTCCCATCAATACGAAAGGTTTTTGATGTTGATTTTTGTATCTGTAGTAGTACTATAGGTCTAGTTTTCCCATAATCAAGTTGTTTGTCGTTTGAATTCTTTTACACCAAGAAAAAGACATTTTGGTGGGACTACGAAATCGAAAAAAAGAACACACCAAATTTGGAGTTTCACATTGATTTGGTTAGAAGAATTATTTTTCCAATGATTCTTTGATCAATCCTTTTTACATGGGAGATTCTTATATAGAAGTTCCTTCGAACAATTTTTATTTCTTGTACAAAGAAAGCTTTGGTATGGAAGAAACAAATCATATCAATTCTTACCATCTAAATGGAAGTTGCTAGCACTCAAAAGGAAAGCAATACGTCCTAATATGTCAAGAATGATCTTACAAAATCAATCAAAGGAAATTTGATATTCCTTTTATTTGATTCAAAACCCAATCAATCTTCTTGTTCTTTCTCACACCTTGCAAGGAAGATCACATAATGTTACTACTCACTAGACCCATCTATTTGAAAGAGGGTCCACGTGGTTGTCAAGCAAGAATGTTTAAACAAGAATTTTGAGATCACTACAAATAAATAATTTGTAGTGACCTAGTTAGAATGCGACGACAAGAAATAAATACTCTTGAATTCTCAACAATTCATTCATAAAGACTTCAACTTTCATCGTCGAATTCGGCAAGCCTACATGTTGATAAGTCTCAAAAAATAAAAACACATTCATAAATACTTCAAGTCTTGCAATCAAATGCCAGCAAACCTACACTTCTACAAGTCTTGAAGTAGGCGGCATTTGTAGACACAAATTTTATTGGATTGAATTCATACAAAAATTGGATTATATCCATGCTTACTTGGGTTGAATGATTAATTTGGGCTTTACAAATAAATAAGTCCATTTTTATTAAATTCAAGTTCAAGGTCCATTTCACCTTGAAGCCCAAATCATGTCACGTGTCACAGTGAGTAGGCATCGAAGACCAACAAGGTGACGCCACGTGTCAAAATGAGGTGCTAATCCCAGTCAAATACAAAAGCGAATCACAATGCGTCAAGTGTCGAAATGACATCCTTTGGCCAGTCACAAGCAACAGTGTTCACTCCCTAAAACTATAAATTGGGGATAGACATGACATTCATGAGGAATCAAGAAGACTCTTCAACAAGCATTCTACAATTGGAGAAAACTAGAACATCAACTAGATATCTCTTCGAAGGAGTAATTAGCGAAATTCTTTTCTAAGATCAACTTGCAACGATGAAGTGCTTCTCAATATTCCCGGAGATCAAATGCATCTCAAGAGGTCTACATAAGCTATAACATCAACTACATAGCTCTTCAAAGGAGTGATCAACGGAGTTCTTCTCAGTGAGCAGCTTGCAACAATGAAGTGCTTCCTGACGTTCCCGGATATCAGATACATCTCAAGGAGGTCTAAATCAACCTACATTCGAGAAATACGCTATTGAAGGCCCTCGAATCATGGAGAAACTTTGGATAGAGGAATCAAGAAAATAATAGAATTGTACTCATAAAGATTCATTAATAAAAATCACATTTTTCTTTTATATATTTTGCTTGTAGTTGATTTTTAGCGCCTAAGGAAATTTGTTTTGAACAGTTACTCACAAATGTTTTATGAAGTTCTCTTTATGATTTTGTCATGCATTGACCACATTCATGATTTACTATTCTTCTTCTTATGATTTACTATGATTAGCTTGGTCATGCATATCATGATTTCTATTATGTCTCCTTATGATCATGTCTCATGTTTTATTGCATTTCTATCATACTTAGTACATTTCATTTATTAATGCATATTTGTGCCTACATTGTTTCACTAATATAGGGCATGATGATTCCTCTTCCTCTATTCGTGGCTAGTTGGTCCCAGTGACAATTCAAAAATTAAGAGTCGGTGGGTCTTATGCTCCATGGACCATTTTGCTTCAATTTGTTTTCTTATGTCTTCATGTTTCGGACTTTGTATATGGTGTACAAGTCACACCCCAACCACTTTCATTCATATAAAAAAGATGGTTTGTCTAGACTTATGTACTCCACTTACGTCAAACTCTTTACATTCTTATGAGATTTATTGCTTTTATCTATTATTGTGTGTGTGCAGGTCAAGCGGCTTGTGTAAGACCTTTCAGGGACTTATACGCCATATCACGTCTAAGGTGTACTTTGGATCGTGACATTTTACCCCTTGAGATATATATAAGCAGACTTTTTGGCCTTTCTTTTGATGCTTGAACTATCCCTTCTCTTTTCATTGTTACCCGTTGCTCTTGGACATACAGTTTGGATATTAGTTCAGCTATTGTATGTAGTGAAGTCACAATACTCTTCAATAGTTGAGATTTCTTATTTAAACTTGTATGAAAGGTTGACCGAGATCTTCTCTACAACTTTATAATTTGGAAAGTTTTCACCAAGTATTCTTATTTGGTTCACAAACTAATTCTGCTTGGAAGAGTATTCTTTCACACTATGAGTGTCTCATCTTCAAAAACTCAAACTCTCTCTTCAAAGCTAAGACTCTTAACAGATTTACTCTGCTGCTGTCGGGTTTTGGCCTTCCTTCTGCAGAATTTTCTAATCTCCGCTATCTCCAAGCTTGGAGCAGCTCAGGAAGGTTTTTGAAATAGCCATAGTCTATTTTACAACTGAAGAAGGGGATAACTAAAAAACCTGTATTTTTATGTCCTGTTAAATCAACTATAGCAGTTGACACGCTGCCATAGCAAAAATATTTCCGCTATGGCGGGATGCAATCAACCTAGATCAATTTCAAATTTCAAAATTTTTATCATGCTACCCCAATTTTAAATTGGTGGTATATTTCAGAATTCTCCGAACTTTCACATGAGTGCCTTTTAATAATAACCGAACATGTCGTTACATTATGGGTTAAGACTGAACCTGCTCTTGAAAAAGTGTCTTGAGTTCAAAAAGATTTTTCGTGAAATAATGAATTTAGAATAAAATAATGTATAATATGATAAAAGGGTATATGTGAACTACTTATCATATATTATTATAAGTGAGAAGCTCCAACCTTCAAAGTTGGATTCCCATTTTGCTCCTCCACTAAATCAAAATAAATTAATTTATTTTTAAATACTAATATTTAATTACATAATGGTATAATATGAAATCCAACAACTACTTTAATTTTTTAGTTATGACAATATAATTATAATTAATTAGGTTAAATTAAATTAGAGTAGAAAACAATATTGTATGAAACTCTTCGAATTTTCTGATTCTTTGAATTTTGAAATTAACATAAATTTATCTGTCATAAAACTATAATGCATGAAACTCTTCAAAGTTTGTGATTCTTTGAATTTAGAAACTAAAATAAATGTATCTATCATGGTTCAATGCCCTATTAAAAAAATTTGGTAGATGAAAGACAATCAAATATCACTATAAATACCAGTTAATTGCTTCCTAGGTCATCGCATTCTTTTTTTTCTGTCATCTACTATTCTCTTTGTTTCTTCCTAGATTATGATATAAATATGTGCCGTCAAGAAGCTAATCGGGGAGAAGAACAAATAGCTTCATTCTGAAATTAAAAGAGAAGCAAGAGAATTCTTACAGAAAAGTTCCACGGTTAAACTTAACAATATAGGATATGACTTATATATTTCTTTAGATCTTTTTATGTTAGATTATGATTTTAAGTTTTTCGTTTTTATTTTGGAGTTAAGGTATGGTTGTCCAAAATGGATTTGGTATGCAACCCATATTTTTCTGTAATTATATACTTGTATTAATATGGAAAAAAAATTCTTTGTTTTTGTGTTATTATGCTTTTTAAGTGTAATTTAATTGTTAAAACTTCTATTAATACGTGATGAATTTGATAATATTTGAATAATTTATGTAAAATTTGCTTTTGTTTAAGTAGAAGTAATTTTAATAGATACATAATAGTAGTGATGTTAAGGAAATAATAATGATTTTAATATATATATATATATATATATATATATATATATATATATATATATATATATATATATATATATATTATTTTATATTATTTTAATTTTTTTTTGTGGAACTATCGTGCAAAACACGTGTCGATAACTAGTGCATAAAAAAGCATCAACAGTTAATTAATACAAAAAACAACACAACCAGAAACGTAGATTGTAGAATAGACAAGAACCATCACGACAATAGATCAAACTGGTAGTGCCACCCTGTTATTCATGAATCAACTATCAAAAGTTATTCTACACTAATTAAAAGATACATCTAGGCATATAGCAATTCACAGCCTTTTCTTCCAAGAGCAACTCTCATTTGTTGGACAAGTCAATAATCCAAAAGCACAAGTTCAACAAGTATTGCTTGCCTTCTAATTGATTGTACAATATTAGTGATTTAGACAAAGGGAACAAATATAAAGTACAGAAAATCATGGACCCCTGATTGGACGAAAGCAGATACAGCTACCAGCTACATCTTCGGGTATCATCCCTCCTCCTTTGCTCGTATCAATTGCTTCTAATAATCTTACTACCTCATCCATTTCAGGTCGCTTTTCTGGATGTCCATCCCAACATTTCTTCATCACATTGGATAGAGAACTTGGACAACATCGGGGAATTTCCGGTCGCAAATTCTGCGAGAATTAGCTTTTTAATAAAGTAAATCATTTAGGTGAAAGCAGGCCCATATGTGTCTTTTGGACCAAACGTAATGAAAGGTGGCAATATAAATGATCAGCATACTAGCAGCAAGGTGAAAATGATCACTATAACAGCGCAACCTCGAGAAATAAAACAAAGTATTCTTCTAGTTTTAAACGGTTGAATACTTGAAAGAATAGTGTCAAAGAAATTGTGTAGTTAAACCAGCATGACATGGTCCTGATGGCTAATAATAGCATAAAGAAGCAACCATTCCTTAGAAAAAAGTTTTGCCAAATTAAGTTACACGTGGGACCATCCATCCAAGACTGATTGCATTGGAAGAAATACAAGTTTAGGGACATGAGTTTTCTACTTGGATATTCAGATTACTTAAACACTGTCTAGTTCCAAAAAAGAGACAATATATCAGTAACCACACAGTTTTATAACTGTGACTTGCTAAGTTTGATAGGAAATTTGAGAAGCTATATTCTTGAATTCTTCAGATTTGACAAGGAAAGTTCTATCCTTGGTTTCACTCGATATCTGAATGATACAAAAAACAAGGACCTATATAGGACCTCGTTTTATTTAATATAAAAGTATTTGAAAGACTATTGGAGTCACACACATAGACATTTGAACCGTCATCAAAGATCGCTTCAGACAACAACACAACTCGACAGATGCAAAAAAGAACAAAAATATACTGGGAAAATGATGGTGTGAACAAGAGGCATACCTGTCTGACAACAGCAGAAGAAACTTCAGCAAAGCTAAGATCTGGATAAGGAAGATCACAGCAATAAATCTCCCATAAGCAAATACCAAAGCTGTATACATCACATTTTCTGTTATAGGGCTTTCCATCAAGTACCTAAACGCTGTACCCAGTTAGTATCTATAAGTAGTACATCAGAATAATTGGATTTTCTGTGGATAGAAAAGATTACTTCTAAAGAAAAGTAAAAGGATTCAAAATATCAGACACGTACTACATGTAAAAGAGAGGGTAAACCAATGTTGCTCGGACTCTTAAAAAATATCGATAGGTATGTGTTGGATCCTCCAAAATTAGAATCTTTTGAAGGATCCTACACGGGTGCGGCAACATTTTTGGAAAGTCCGAGCAACTTAGGGGTGAACGAATGATAATATGATACAAGTATCATGTCAGACATTCATAGCAAATCCTACATGTCTTGCAAAGGAATATGTATACCTCTGGAGCCATATATCCAAGAGTTCCAGTTTCACCAGTCATGTCCTGAGGATTTTGTGCCTCAACACGAGCAACCCCAAAATCAGCAATTTTTAGAGTTCTATCCGTATCCAACAACATATTTTCAGCTTTCACATCACGATGTACAATCTTTTCAGAATGCAAATAGCTCAATGTACAAATTCAAGAGGAAAACAAACATAATCCAGTGTAATGACCAACTGAATAATGTTGTACAAAGACACTTACCCCCTAGACAGATCCAAAGCAAGTTGAATGAGAATCTTAAAGGGAAGTTTCTTTTTCCTGTGTTTGAACAAATATTTTTTCAATGTTCCTCCATAGAGGAATTCGACAAGTACACAACAAGCCCGACAAGAAAGTGTGGTGTAACCCTCAGAAGGATTTTTTGAAGGAATCTTAAGATTTGAGGTTCCCATAGAAGCACCGACAAACTGAAAATGAAAATGATATCAAATAAAATTTGGAAGCATGGGTAGCTTAATGAGATAAACATCATACCAAATATAAAATGGTGCGCATGTGTTAATCTAAAATTGTTAACAGTAGATTGATGATTAAATGTTGAAAAGCACACAATAGAGAAGAAAATATGTACTTTTGTAACATTTGGATGGTCAAGTTTTTGCCAAACAGTAACCTCCTGCTGAAATGATGCCCGCAGAGCAGCAGTTTCGGCAGCAGTCATCATGCCATCCTCTCCCCAATCCAACAGCTTCACTGCACAAATAATATTAAATAAGTAGGTCTTACGACTGTGTTGTGAAAATTCCCTGAAAGATGTTGGAGAATTTGCTCAAGTATCTGCATTAACGGGACTGATCCTTTTTCATAAAAATTAACACACTCAAAATAAGTAGATCCAAGTTAGTCCAATCACTGAACTCCTTTAGAGTAAACTTCTCTCAAATGGCAAACTCATCGCAGTGTATTTCACTATATTTGTTAAGTGAAACTATTGATCTATCCATCTTCAACTTAAAAGTTCATCTCAAAAATGTTTTTTAACTTTTGGTTTCTATGATTTCTGCACTGTTTTCTTCTTCTTTGAACTTTGATTTTCTGCATTTAAGCAGGGGTGGCAACCCTGAGGGTAGCTCAGCTGGTAAAGGCCTGAGGACAAAGTCCTTTAGGTCGCCAGTTCGAGCCCCAGCAGGGCCACTAGAGGCATTACAAACCGGCCGCGTCTCCAGGGCCCCGTGGAACTAGCCGTGGTGCACCCCTCTTGAAACAGCGGGACCCGGTGGGTACAGCTAGTCGGGTTCACAAAGCGATACCCGGAAACCACGGCAAAAAAAAAAGTAAGGGTGGCAAAATCAAACCCAACCCGTTCAACCCACCGATTCATTAGTTCAACCCATTTCAAGCCATTAAAAATTGGGTTGATATGTAACCCGGATTGGCTCATGAAAAATCTTGTCAAAATATTTTTACTTTGTTTTTCAATTTGATATGTTGTGTATAGCCATAATAAATAAAAAAATAATTTTATTAGGTACTAAAATAGTTTAAAAGAACAAAGAAAATAATTAAGTTTAGTAAAAGTTGGGTTGATCTTAACCCATAATGCAACCTGTTAGTGAAAAAACTTACAAGATAATAAAATTGCAAGATTACAATTAAAAATAAAATGAAGAAATTAATCTCTTCAGGCTGAGGCGCGGATATCTTGCTCTCTTTAAGGAGATTCAAGCCCACTGCAGCAAATGTTTTCACCGGTCCAGCAGTAGTCCTCTTTGACTTGTCCCCTCCAGGATACAACAGCCTTCACAAAGTATAACTCAACAACTCTGGACAAGAGTTGAGTCCAAAGCTCCACAAAAGAAATACCTCCCTTCAACTAATAAGAACTCTCTTTTAGACTAACTCTTTCACTCTTTGTTTTCTTTTATGAATTGTGTGTTCCAAACCAAATGAAGACCACCACTATTTATACTACAAGAAGTCTTCCTAACAATAAATAGGAAGATAATGAAGATAGTAAATAGTGAAGATAATAGCCTTAGGAGTTTCATAGGTTACAATAGGAGTTACATAGGTTACATATGTTACAATAGGGTTGCATATGTTACATATGTTACAATAGGAGTTACATATGTTACATAGGTTACAAAGAGTAATGGAGGTATTAAGAATGAAATAAAGTGATGGACAACCAATGCTAATGGATGATGTAGAAGTCATCCATTCCAATGTTCATTCTTATAACTCCAAAATAAAGCAATTTAATATGTTAAATATTAATATTAAAATGTTAATAACCTAACAATCCCCCACTCATTTTAATATTTAGATAAGAGAGTATATCAGTTGAAGGAAGACTACTATGCATAATGAAGGTGTGCTCTGCATTGAACCTCCACTTAGTGAAACAGTAACTTTTACTCCAGAGTCGTAGTGGTCTCAGACTTGAACTATGACTGCTTAAGGGAAATAAAATATCACTGGTCACACATAATAATCAAGGTGTTGACATGAGCTTTAACAGCCAGCACGTTATGGCCATGTGCTATCCCGGTTTCATGAGTGCATTTGAGAATAAGCCTCATTCTCATAGGAATCGACCTACTTCCACACATCACATAGGTGAAATCTGTCGAGAGTGCTCCTGTACGATTAACACTCCACTCATACGGGCTACAGATATTCATTAAGAGTTTTTATCAACTCAACCTTCACAAACTACAGGAAACAATGCACTCACATCATAGGGAGGGAAAAAATAGTGCATTTTTCACAACAAGTCATCATATGATTAGTTTTTCCCTTTGAACCTGGTTATAGGATCTCTATTCTCCAGGTTGGGTTTCCTCATATATGACTCAAGGATTTGTAGGCTTCAATCCCATCCCCCTAGATGTGCTCTAGACCTTTTCTCTAGTTAAGGCCTTCGTAAGAGGATCTGCAAAATTATCACAAGATTTGACATAATCAACATTAATGGTACCATTTATCAAATACGATCTTACATTACTGTGTTTCCTCCTTATAGGTCTGGATTTATCGTTGTAATAACGGTTTTGAACTCTACCAATTGCAGCGGTGCTATCACAATGAATTAAAATAGGAGGAATTGGCTTTTCAAAATAAGGAATTTGAAACAATAAATCTCTTAACCAATTTGCTTCCTCACTAGCTGAAGCTAAAGCAATTAGTTCAGCCTCCATGGTAGAGTTAGCAATTATAGTTTGCTTTTTTGATCTCCAACAAACAGCACCACCACCTAAAGTAAAGACATAACCAGTGGTAGAACAGGAATCACCTGACAAAGTGTTCCAATCCGCATCACAAAAGCCTTCAAGTACAGCAGGATATTTTTTATAGAACAAACCACAATTTTTCGTTCCAATTAAATATCTCATAACTCTTGTTATAGCATGTCAATGTTCATCACCTGGCTTGCTTGTAAACCTGCCAAGTACTCCTACTGCATATGCAATATCAGGTCTAGTGCAATCAGTCACATATCTCAAACTTCCGATTATACTAGCATATTCCTTTTGATTTATTATATCATTTTCACTTTCAACAGGAAATAAGTGAACACTTGAATCAAAAGGAGTAGCAACATGCTTGCAATCATGAAAGTTATATTTTTTTAAAATTTTCTCAACATAATGTGACTGGTCAAGGAAAATCCCCTCACATGTTCTTGTTATTTTTATTCCAAGAATAAAATTTGCCTCACCAAGATCTTTCATATCAAAATGGTTTCTAAGAACATTTTTAGCTTGATCAATAACATTCATGTTAGAGCCAAAGATCAACAAATCATCAACATATAGGCAAATGATCACATGTGAATTATTCCAAGACTTGTGATATATGCACTTATCACACTCATTTGTCTTAAAACCATTTTCAATCATACAGGAATCAAACTTTTCATGTCATTGCTTTGGTGCCTGTTTTAAGCCATATAGGGATTTAGTAAGTTTACATACTTTGCTTTCTTGGTCTGCTTCAACAAAACACTCGGATTGATCCATATAAATTTCTTCATTTAAGTCTCCATTTAGAAAAACAGTTTTTCCATCCATTTGATGAATTTGCAAATCAAAAATTGTAGCCATAGCAACTAAAAGTCTGATGGATGTAATTCTTGTTACCGGAGAAAAAGTACCAAAAATTATAGGCCTTCTAGTTGTTTAAAATCTTTTGCAACTAGCCTAGCCTTGTATTTATCAATAGAACCATCCGGTTTCAACTTTTTCCTTAAGACCCATTTGCAACCAATTGTTTTACAACCCGGTGGTAAATCAACTAACTTCCAAGTTTTATTAAAAATTAGAGATTCCATTTCATCATTTACAGCCTCTTTCCAAAAAATAGAATCATGTGAAGATAATGTTTCTTTCAAAGTTAGAGGGTCATTTTCAACATTAAACACATAAAAATCAGGACCAAAATCTTTTTGTACTCTAGCTCTTTTACTTCTTCTTAACTCAAAATCAACAACATCTTTATTTTTTAAAGTTGAAGTAGAAGAACTAGGTAGTGACAAAATATTTTGTTCAATCCTTTGACCCCCACTATTTTTAGTATCAAAAGGAAATTTATTTTCATGAAAAATAGCATCACCAGATTCTATTACAATATTATCTTCAATATTAAAAAATCTATAGGCTGTACTATTTGAAGCATAACCAAGAAAAGCACAAGAAGTAACTTTCTTATCCAACTTTGTAATCTTGGGATCCATTAGCCTCACAAAGGCTAGACAACTTCAAACTCTTAGATATCCCAAACTTGGCTTGTAACCTTTCCACAATTCAAAAGGTGTCAATTTAGACTTTTTATGAGACACACGATTCAACACATAACAAGCAGTTAAGATAGCTTCACCCAAAAATTTAAAGGTGCATGTGATTCAATAAGCATGGCGTTAGTCAATTCAACCAAAGTTCTATTTTTCCTTTCTGCTACTCCATTAGACGAAGGAGAGTAAGAAGGAGTAGTTTCATGAATTATTCCCAATGATCTAACAAAAGAATTAAACTCATTTGATTCATATTCACGGCCTCTATCACTTCTAATTCTTTTTATTTTTCTTCCAAACTGATTTTCAACCTCATTGAGATAAGTTTTGAAATTTTCAAAAGCATCATTTTTATTTTTCATCAAGTAAACATATGTAAACTTAGAAAAATCATCAATGAAAGTGATAAAATATCTATTACCTCCACGAGTTAGAATTCCACCAAGTTCACAAATATCAGTATAATTCTAACAAATCAATTTTTCTTTCAACTTGAAAATGAGGCCTTTTAGTGATCTTGGCTTTACTACAAGCCTCACACTTTTCAAAATTCTTTTTAACCATTGGGATTAATCCTAAACTACTCATGATTCCAACATAACGATCATTAATATGACACAAACGAGCATGCCAAAAATTAGTAGAAGAAAGCATATAAACAGAAGTAGAAGTTTTATTCATTTCAACATTTAACTTAAACATCCCATCACATGCATACCCCTTCCCCACAAAAATACCTTTCTTTACTATTACATATTGATCAGATTCAATAATCTGTTTAAAGCCTGCTTTATTAAGAAGAAAACTAGACATCAAATTTTTTCTCATAGAAGGAGTATAAAGCACATCTTTCAATGTTAATATCCTTCCAGAAGTAAAACACAATTCAACATCTCCCTTTCCAAGCACTTGAGTAGTGTGAGCATCACCAAGCATGATAGTTTTGGGCTCCTCAAAATGAGTATATTTTTTAAACCAGTCTTTGTCATAACAGACATGACGGTTTGCATCAAAATCAGCCCACCATCCATCAACATTCTCAACCATGTTTATGTCGGTAATCACCGCCACAAAAGGTTCTTCGGTAACGTTTGCCTGAGGGTTAGGACCACGTTTCCGAAATCTGCAAAATCAAGCAATATGCCCACTTTTGCCACAAACATAGCATGGTCCCTTTTCTTGAACTTGTTGATTTTGTGCTTGGTGATTTTCACCATTATTTTTCTTGGAAGGTCTACCATTATTTTTCTTGAATTTTTTCTTCTTAGGCTTTAAAGAAGTATTTTTGTGAGTTTCAGGAGTAGCATTATTCGAAGTAATTAAATTTACCTTCGATGTGATGTTGTTCTCTTCTGTTTGTAAAAGTGCATCTTGGCCTCTTGCTTCTTCTTCCATGCGGATTTTCATTATCAAGCTTTCAAGAGAGGTTTCTTTTGCTTGTGGCGCATAGTTTTTTGAAATTCCTTCCAAGAAGGTGGAAGTTTATCCACTATGCCACAAACGATAAGGTTATCTCCAATTTTAACCTCTTCAGACTTAAGCTCTCCAACAATCATGATGAAGTCTTGAGCTTGATCTACCACTGATTTGTTGTCCACCATTTGGAAACGAAAAAATCTACTAGCTGCATATTTTTTCGCTCCAGCCTCTTCGGTATCATACTTACTCTGCAATGCCTTCCAAATTTTCTTTGCACTAGAGTAAGTTCTATCATAATAATCATAAAAATTATCAGATAGACAATTAAGAAGATAATACCAACACTTATAGGAATCACCATCGTACTTTTCCACTTTCTCTAGATGAGAAATAGTTTCATCATCATTCATAGTGGTGATGTCTTCTTTATTTGGATTCTTCTCCGTTAATACATAAGAAACATTGAGAAGACTTAAGTAGAAAAGTACTTTACCCTTCCATCTCTTGAAATGGTTACCATTGAACCGAAATGGCTTGTTAAGATCTCCCATCTTGATATCCGCGGTTTTTTCAATTGTAGCCATCTTTGAATATCCTTAAAATTGTTAGTGAAAAAACTTACAAGATAATAAAATTGCAAGATTACAATTAAAAATAAAATGAAGAAATTAATCTCTTCAAACTGAGGCGCGGATATCTTGCTCTCTTTAAGGAGATTCAAGCCCACTGCAGCAAATGTTTTCACCGGTCCAGCAGTAGTCCTCTTTGACTTGTCCCCTCCAGAATACAACAGCCTTCACAAAGTATAACTCAACAACTCTGGACAAGAGTTGAGTCCAAAGCTCCACAAAAGAAATACCTCCCTTCAACTAATAAGAACTCTCTTTTAGACTAACTCTTTCACTCTTTGTTTTCTTTTATGAATTGTGTGTTCCAAACCAAATGAAGACCACCACTATTTATACTACAAGAAGTCTTCCTAACAATAAATAGGAAGATAATGAAGGTAGTAAATAGTGAAGATAATAGCCTTAGGAGTTTCATAGGTTACATAGGTTACAATAGGAGTTACATAGGTTACATATGTTACAATAGGGTTACATATGTTACATAGGTTACAAAGAGTAATGGAGGTATTAAGAATGAAATAAAGTGATGGACAACCAATGCTAATGGATGATATAGAAGTCATCCATTCCAATGTTCATTCTTATAACTCCAAAATAAAGCAATTTAATATGTTAAATATTAATATTAAAATGTTAATAACCTAACGCAACCCATTACCTAATCCATATTGACCCAACCCGTTTTGACCCAACCAAATTTGGGTTGGGTCTTGACCAAACCCATTATGACCCGTCTAAATTTGACCCAAGCCGCCCAATAGCTAAGCCTACATTTAAGCTGAGGATATTTTGGATGCAGCCTTTTTACATCCACAAGGTAGTAATTAGGTCTACCTACTCTGTACCATCCCCACACCCCACTTGCGGGACCTCACTGGGTAAGTTGTTGTTGGTATCTAAGTTAACTCATCAATAAGAAGGTCATGATGATTTTAAAAAATAGATGTTTTTCACCCTAATTGTACAACTTGTGACTATAAACATGTAAAAAAATGGATTGCAGTTTCTCAACAATAATATTGCAATTGTCAACCATGAAACAATGTATTTGCGGGTTACCTGCAACATCTTGATTGTCATAGGTACCACGGTGAACAGTACCATATGTTCCCTGAGCTACAAGGTACCTTATTTCCAACTTTGAAGGATCAATCTCCCACCCTTCCCTGGGCCTTTGGTTTTGATTCTCCACATTGCTTGACCAAACCCTACTCAAGTGCTTCTCCAATTGAACATCCAAACTTTTCAAATCAATTTTGTCTGCCCGGAAAATCATGTCATTCCTTTCATCAACATTTGCTAGCCCTTTCAATTTCGACATCTCTCCATCCACCACTTAATAAATGAGTACACAATTATTGCTAGTGTCTCAAATAGAACAAAAAGGTATCTGGAAAAAGAAAAAAAAGAGTAATACGCCAAAAGATATGCTTGAAAGGGTCAAAGATGAGTGACACAATATTTTTAATAGAAAATTCCAACAAAACAAACTCCAATTCTAAATCAAATTCCTTTCATATTAGACCTGAATCATTGTCAAAGGAAGAATCAGAGAACAATTCAAAGCAAATATCTATGAACAGCCATCCCTTTTTAAAAAAAAATATGACAGGAAAGATAGTAAGAGAAGAAAAAGAAGAAGAAGGATACCCAGAAGTAGAGATTGAATTAGCCTTGAGCACAAAGACTGATTTTTTTCGGTAACAAGAGAAAAGGCGCGGTGTTTGCCTTCAAATGTGAATTTATCCCTCATTTCCTCAGTTTTACTACATTCATCCTACATTTATTTAAATTTTTTTATATCAATATTTTAAAAGTAATTACAATATATACGTTACCTGAAATTTCTTTAATTCTTCTTTTATGAGACAAATTAAACATAAAATTTGTAAATTCAATCTATATTTATTTTGAAAATTTAAATAGTTAAGAGTCAAATTAAAAATTAATTCTCTCTTTATTGCTATTTGTATATCCTTTTTACTAAAAATAGATAGTTCTTGATATTTGTTATTTCACAAAATAACAATTATTTCTATTATACCCATTGAAAGTTTTTAGTCTTAAAAAATATATATTTGTTCAACGTAGAAAAACTAAGTAATTTGTTCATGTTTATTAATTAAATTAGTTAATCAAAATAAATTAACACACATTCATTTATTAAAAACTTAATTTCAAAAGTTATCTAATTATTTAAAGAACTTTAAACTTAAAATAATGACATATAAATTGAAAATAAGAAACTAAAACATCTCTATCATTTTTATTTAATACTGAAAATAATAAAAGAGTTTGAAAACAGCAATACAATAATAAAAAGTCAGCAAATATTGCACTAATAAGTTTCATATAAAAAACCCATATATATTTGAATAACCAATTTAATTTTTTGGCTTATGTGATGTCACTGTATTAAAAGTATTTTAAACTTTCTAAAGAATGTTACAAATTTCAACGAGTTTGAGTCTTCTCCACTATAAAAGTTTTGGCTACCAAAAGTTATAATACCTCATCATACATCTTAATAGACCAAATGAAAATATTAAAATATAATTTACTTCCTAAAATACTCAATTATTAAAAAATAAAAGTATGGATTATTCATTCATCATATTTAGCTGAATCTTATTCTAAGAACCTCACAAATTCAATTACCAACAATTCAAATTCGTGGCAAAGTGATTGAAATGATTTCATGAAAAAAAAGATATGCATAAATTTAATATAAAAAGAGAGGGGAGGGGGGGGGGGGGGGGTCACTATATGAAAAGTTTTCTGTTTTCTTCATCTATAAAGATCATGAAATACATTCTAATTTTGTCAGCTTACATATATTTTACTTAGTAAAACTAATTCAAAATTTTATACAAATTAACAAATAAAATACCCTCTGTTACTAGTTGCATGTAGTAGAGTAATATTATTCGCAACAAATTTTTGAAGTGCTAAAAATTAACTGAAAATAAAATATATTTTTTTAGAAAAAAGTAATTTTATTGATGAATCTTATTGAGTCTTTCTTTATTCATCTCTAGATGATTCGAGGGTCTTTAGTCGCATGTTTTTCGAATTGCAGGATGATCAGAATCTCCTAAAAATGTCAGACAACACTTCATTGTTTTGAGTAGATCTCCAGCAGAACTTTGTTGATCAATCCTTGTATAGTCAACACTGATGTTTTCTTCAATGCTTGAAGAATTTCCTCAGAAAATTATGTAACCCTCTTATATATAGTTGTAGGATGAAGGCAATCCAGGTGTAAATAAACTTTTTTGTCTTCCTCTAACTGATTCATGTAAGTCATCATTATTCCGACTAGATTTCCACACATAACTTTGTTGATCAATCCTTTGAAGAACGATAGAGTGAACATCGATGTTTTCTCCTATACTTGCAGAATTTCCTCATAAAATTATGCTACCCTCCTATAGTTGTAGGAGGTAGGAAGTCCAAGTGTAAATAAACTTGGTCTTTCTCTAACTGGTTCATGTAAGTCATCATTGTCGATGAATCCTTTGAAGAACGATATTGTCCACACCGATGTTTTCTCCGATGCTTGTAGAATTCCCTCAGAAAATTATGCAACCTTCCTATATATAGTTGGAGGAAAGCAAGTCTTCAAATAAACTTGTTTGTCTTCCTCTAACTTGTTCATGTAAATCATGAAGCTTAACATAAACTTCAGTAGTTGTGATTGGCTAAAACCTATAATTTTAGACACTTAAACAAATTCTGACTGATTCTTCAATTTGTCATATTATTTGAACACATGACCTCATTTTGTTGGTCTTGTATTTGACTAGAATATCAAGTTGACTATCTTAGCATGTGACATGAGTTTAGAATTTAAGGTAAAATAGATCTTAAACTTGAATGTAATTAAATGAACTTGTTTATTTTTAAAAGAAAGATTCATAAATAGCTAAGAGATTAAACTTAATTTAGCCTCCTTAGCTATAATTTGCCTAATTATGCTCCTTATATATAATTTCATTTGCTATGTTAACTTTTGTTTGTATACTTAGTTGTATTTTTTATAAACTATACAACTTGAATTTATACGAATAACATATTAATGGTATGTAGTGGAAAGTAATGGCATACAATTATCTGTATCGTATACAATCTACTGATATAGATAAATAGTAATGATATATATTTGTCGAAATTATATGATTGAGTGGTATAAGGTGTTTGGATGATATTATACAAGAAAAAAAAGTAAACCAAAAAATACATTAAAAACATATAGAACCAAACACCATAGATGAAAGTTTGTATAAACACAAACATGTATATATCGATACACACATTTGATAACAATAAAATTATTAATACGTATACAAATACAAAAATGCATACAAATTAATATATACATATAGAGTTTATACAAATACCTAAGATTCTTCATATACACATATTTTTTAAATGGTAGAAATACGTTTAGGTGTTACCTGGAATTGAAATTCAAGATTAGAAGGAAGAAAGAGGGCATTCAAAATTCAAATTTGATATGATTGAGAGATTTTAGGAGAAAAAATAGTGAATGGAGAGAGGAGAGATAATTGTGATTTGTATAAAGGTATATGAATCAAGTGAGAATTTACTTTTATTTTTTGATGCAAATCAGTTTAGTGGGTCCCGAATTTAATAGAAAATTTCATTAAACTACAGTCGCGCTTCAATAATTATGTGAAATTATAGTTGTATTAAAAAATACACTAGTAACGTTTGTCATTTCGCGTGCTTTTTTCTATTTTTAAAGTCCAAAAAATTCATGTCTACGGATGTCTCCTACTTCAAGTCATGCCGAGGTGTAGACTTGTCAAATTTTGAAACTATGTCTTGGAGCCCTCGTGATGTGTCTAACAATCTTATTTTATTTTCGAGAAAATGATCAAAATTACCCCTCAACTTTCGTTTTTAAAATAGTTAACTTTATCCTTCAGTATATAATGTTGTCATTTATAACCCCGCCTTTCACAAACATACCACTCATACTCCTCAATTAGATGAAAACCCCAAAATAAATTAAAATTACTCAATCATGCTTAAATTAGCCAATTTTAATTCGATTTGACTCACCTAATCATTTAACCAAATTTTCTTCATCTTCATCATTTAACTTGTGTTACTTTCCATTCTCCTCTCTAAACTTCCATTGCTCCTCTCTCGCAATGGTCATAGAAGGCCAGTCACCACAGCACCACCCTCTTTGTACTCTCCCTCTTTCCCTATTTTTCTTCTTCTTTTGATCTGAAAATTATATGTTTTTTTATGCTTTACCCCCATCATTAGATTTTTTTTATTTATGAATGTCAATTAGTGATAAAATAATAATTGATATCAAATCAAAACACTATGAAAGTGTTTTACCGGAATTCAAAAGGAGTAGAAAACATAAATTCAACCTCTCTTGTTCAATAAGAAAATGGTATATTTCGTCATTGCCTTTGCCATTGATCGATTCTCCTACAATGATTTCCTAAATTGAAATAATAGGCTTTTCAATGGTGTCTCTTCTCTATTATCATCAAATTCATATAAAAAATGATTAAACAAAAAGAGAGTGCATACAAATTGATATAATGACTATCAGCAGCACACTACTCCTTGCTTAGTGGCCTAGAAAAGTATATTATGATTGTGTTTGGATCGATTATGATTACTTATTATTGTTGTAATATTTTTTCGTCTGATTGCCGCCAATTATCTTGTTCTAGTCTCAAGATACATTGATACTGCATGGTTCGTGAGCCTACAAATTGATCGTTTTACTGAACCTACGAATCGAGTAGATCGTGTTAACATGATTGGATAGATTCTAAATATTTGTACATATCTATGTTTATAACTCAAAATATTTGAGTAATGATGATATGCGATAGCATAGATTAATGTAGCATATTTTCAGAGAGAATATAATTAGGAATAACATATATTTAGGATAGACATAATAAATAAATGTGCATGCCCTTTAACGCGGATTCAAATCACATTTATGCCTTTCAACTTTGGATGTGTACAAATAGACACTTAAACTTGTATAAAGTTGAACAAATAGACACATATGTCATATATGTCATTTTTTGTCCTATGTGGTGTTCTACGTGTATTGTGTCATATAGGACTCATGTATTTATTAATTTAAAAGTTGGATAGTTAAAGTGTCTGTTTATGCATTATGAAAGTTGGAGGTCAAAGTTAAAATTTAAAACCAAATTTAGGGTCCAATATATGTATCATGCCTTTAGGATATATAGCAGATTTTTAGGCATGAAAATCAGAATTCTTTATATTTGATGGAAGAACTCTTATTTGAGAGAACTCATTCAGCAAAATTGACATGGTATCAGAACCAGATCCATCCCAATTTGTTGTTCACCTATGATAGGCCCCCATTTGGAATTGTTTGCGCTTCAGTTATAGTTTGGGCGTGCAGGGGAGTGTTAAGAAGTCTCACATCGGTGTGGTTGAGTTAATTACAAGTGTTATATCTTTACATGGTATCAGAGTTGTTCAAGATTATTTCTCTTGATTTCAGAGCTTATGCGCTGAATTTACTTATTATCATTTATGCTAAAGAAAACCTTGTGAATCTCTCTCCATTATTCAAGGAGTTCATGACCAAAGAAAGCGAGATCAATTTTTGAAAAAATTACAATCTGATTTTGAAAGTGTTTGCTCCAAGTTGATGAACTGTGATCCATCTCCCTCGTTAGATGTATGTTTAGGGAATTACTA